GACCTGGCGGCTCCGTCTTTGGGGGGATCCGGAGGGACTTTGGGGCACTCGACCCCCCTTTCCCTGCGTTTTTTGGACAAAAGTTTTTTTTTTCGTAATAAAGAAACGAATTTGCCTGCTCTCCCCCTCCGAGTGGCCCAGAAGCTTTTCCCTTCCCCATCGGTGTGTGTTTAGAGAAAAGTGTGAACCCAAGTAAGTGCTGAGTCGTGTTGCATTGGGGAGGGGGGTTTGCTAACTGAAAGCAGGAGAGATCCGGAGAGAGAGAGAGAGAGAGCAGGGACAGCTTGTTGTCAGTATCATAAACAACCAAAATGGAGGGAGAACTGAGGCATATAACAAAATAAAAATCAGAAAAAATTGCCAAAAAATCCTTAAAAATCGGGGCTGCTCCCCCTTTTCTTCCTCAAGGTAACAGAATAAAACCCGTGTCTTCCCGAGCCCGTTTTAAGGTTTCAGGGAGCAAGGAGTTAATATTTATTATTTTTTTTTGTTGATGAATTCTTTGGAAAGGCAAAAGCCTCTTATAACTCGCCACCGACAATGAGAAAACGTGAAAATCCTTTTCAGGAGAGAGAGGTAGGGGGAGATGATAGTGCAGAAAGTGCATAACTTTGGGGTAATGTGGAGTGATCCTAGATAAGATAAACGCTGTATATGCTACTTTATAACTTCCTTTTTTAATGCTTTTTGTATGTTTGGGGGATTTTTGGAGATGGGGGCTCCTTTCTTTTTCTCTGCCTTTTTTCTTTCTGTCTTTCTTTCTTTTTTTTTCTTTTCTTTCTTTTTTTTTTTTTTCCGGACCGGAATGCAGTGCCTTTGTAGTGTCACTTTCCTGATCTAATTAGGATGTGTGAAGCAGAGAGTAAACCTTTCCGGTTTATAAAGTACGTTTTCGTTGCCTTTCAATTTCAAGTTTTCCTGGTGGCTCCCTCCTCTATTTAAACTGGATTCTTCAGAGGAGTGTGGGGTTGAGGTAATGCTCCATAGGGAGAGCCCAGAGTGCTCAGAGTCAGGGCACCTCTTCTGCGGGTGGTTGCTGGTCTCCCTGGCATGCTCGGTTCACCTGTTTGTGTCCTACCAAGAATGTATTCTGCAGTCTCCTCGTTTTATTTATATAAAATAATGATGCCTCATCTTGCCTCACATTGAAGTTAATGCGAAAGTGCTGCTGATGTTGGTTCCACGTGGGATCAGGGACATAGCAGGGCATTTTAAAGAGACAGCTT